CTCAGTGGCGGACTTTGTTTTTACGAAAATTTTTCCTGTAACTTTCTTTTATTTAGTTTTACGGACAGTATTCCTTCATTTCACGATCATTATTTCAGCTGTTGTGGGACGGTCGCCAGGCGTTGTACGTCGACCGCGATTACCGCCATCTCCAACACCTGTTTCGAAGCATAAACTATCTCAATTACCTCCCAGAGTAACTGAACGAGTGCCTGTTCTGGAAAATTCCCATTCGAGCCTGTCATCAACCAGTACGTTGAAAGATGCAAGCCTGAAAGATCAGCAGTCAGGGAGAGGCGCCATTGACAGCTTGGAAAACACGAGGCCGCCTCAACGCCTGTCCGGTGGGCATGAAAATCCACTGCAGCAGCTACAACACCAACCTGGAACCATCAGCAACGCTTCAGGACCGACCTCTGTGATAGAAATGAAAACGAGACGCCCCTTGGTTGTGGAGGAGGTGCGATGCGATATCCGACTGGACGATCAGGATTCATCGCCGTTCCGTGTTCCCTCTCCGCCGCAGTTCCTCAGTAAGGATGGTTGGTGTTTAACTGAATTTTCTTTAGTCCGGAGCAATTGATTTTTATATGTTTTGTAACGCCCGTTTTCTTCGCTGCCGGGCTAGGTTTAAGGACTGATTTGCGGGCACTAATGTCGCTAGTGAATTGAAAGAAATAAGCCGCGATTTTTATGCCCATTTTCCGGGTGTTCTTAGTATTCTTGATAATTATTTCAAAAAAATTTTTCTGCTCGCCATCAGTGCAGCCAGCAACATGTGCTCGTATTTTTAAAGAAATGTTCATGTGGATCCTTCCTTCTCACCAGCTACCCTCCCGGTATTCGTTTGGTAACGTTCGATGAACCCTAAGCAGCAATACGCGCAGTTTTCATATTCATCTTTTAACCATATGAATAATTGCGGCCGAAAAAACAGTGAGCTTCATGTATGATTTTTGGACTTTAGATTTTGCGCATGCTGTGTTGTTGCAGTTGAGCTTGAAACCAGAAGGAAGCACTTGCAAGAGCAGCTGAATCAGAGGCCAACAACGTTATTCCCCGAACAGCGTATGCCACCATCAGCAGTAGCTGCAATGGATCTTTCGTGGGCTCGCAGTACCACAAATCCATCACGCCATTTCGGACCGGTTGTGCAGCAAGAAGTCAAAAATGTATTCATTTACTGCAGTATTTTTGATTGATATTTTACGGTGAGACCCCACATTCAAGACTTTCGCTTTTACATTGTCCAGGAGTATCACTGGAACTAGTGAAATGGCGTCCTTCTAGTTTGGCGTGCCGTGCTCTGAATCGTGTTCCACTTTTAGCAAGTGATGCCGC